CCGCCCCTTTCTTCTTTTAACAGCTCAGTTAGAAGAAAGGTTTGGGCAAACACTGGCCTGACCCTCTCAGCGGGTCATTGTGTGTCTGCTGATGTGCAGCCCCTCGAGTGAGGACCATTCACTTTGTACAGCTCAGGGACCCGAGAGGGAGAGCTGGAATTGCACAGAGATGAGGCAGTGGGACAGTGAAGGGAGCAGGCTTTGAGCAGGGCACAGCGAGGGTCCCTGCCAGTGCCAGCCCCCGTCCCGGGCCTTTGCCATGGCCAGGCCACCCCTGCTGTCCCCTGGGCTCTCTCAGGTGGGCTCCAGGCCGGGGACCAGCAGAGCTCAGCTCCCTGCAGATGGCACTGCCACCCTGTGCTGCGGCAGCCCAGGGAAATCCGTCCTTGTGAGTGTGTGAGCAGCAGGTAATGGCTTTATTTTGGTGGCTGCACTTTGGTCTGTGGAATAGAGAGGTGCCTTTGTGCTGCAGTCACCTCTGGTGCCTGCCTGTGACCCACTCGTGTGCAGCTCCTGCCAGCCTCTCCCACCTCCCTCTCCCAGGATTTTAGGGTAAGTGATTCCTCACAACCTCAGCAATTTTCTGTGCAGTTTTATCCTTGGGGTCTGTAGGAGCTCAAATCCTCTGCTATGGCTTTACCTTCCCTGAATAAACTTAATTCAAGCCTCCCCACACCAGGAGATGCTGAGCTCAGAGGAGCAGCCAGTCCAAATAACGCACAGGGAAGGTGAGGATGGTGATGGGTGGGAGCTCCTCTTCCCTAGGAAGCTCCCTTGGAGCAGCCCAGTTGAGCCTGGACACCTGAGCAAGTCAGTGATGATGTATTGAGAAAAGAATCTGCCCTGAAGCTGAAAGGCAGCTCCTTAAATTGACTAAATTACATTTGTATTTCAAAAAAGAAAAAGAAGCTGTAAATCGCGTATTTACACGGCGGAGCACGCGAGTGCTCATACGAGACCCAGATGTTCATTAGAAACATGGATTTTTCTTCCTTGCTGCTACCCTGAAAACTGGGAAAGAAGTCAGCTATGTTGAAGGGTTACAAAAGAGCGAGTTAAGTCTACAAAATCCAGGAAATTTCCCGTTAAGATGAAAAATCTGGGGTACTGTTGTAGTCCTTTAATTCGGCCCCAAGACGTAAATTAAAGCCAGAGGATCGGGTCAGGTGCTCAAGTTCTCAGACCATAGCTGTGGAATTTCCAGGTTAAGTTACTTAAATTTTCCTGTTGCTGAATAAAGCTAAAATCCTGTGTGCCATATATTTGCTCATCATAAAATGTTCTCTCCTAGCCAGTAACAGCTTCTTTGTTGGCGAAGCCTGTCTGGTTCAGGAGGCTCCCAGCCTTTGTGCAGGGTTTGGGAGTTAAGAACTTCCACATGGCCCCTGCTCTGAGGCTCTTGTGAATAAGCAAGGCAAAACACTTGCTCCATGGCCAACAAATGCATGGGATATGGTTTGAATTCTCTGGGTTTAAGTGCAAAGGATAATGTTGATTTTGTTAAGGTAAATGTCTTTAATTGAACTGTATAAACTCGGCTCTCACTGGGCCATAATGGGCTCTGGGCATCCCTCCAGCACAGCAGTATGAAAATGTCTCTTTTAGTGTCTCCAGCAGAGAAATGCAGAATATGAAGATTTAGATGAAAAAAAGTGAAATGGACTCCATGCCCAGTCTCTAAAACAGCATCTACTGATGCAGAAGGACATTTACATAGCTGGAAATGACTGCTTTGTTAAGGTCAAGGCTCTGCAGTACCTGCTGGTGTGGGCTGTCTGGGGCTCTTTACTGGGGAGGTGGGAATAGAAAATGAAAGGAGGGAAAACAGCAAGAGGAAATGAAGAAGTCTCAGTGTGACTCAGTCTCATCCACAGGGCCTGGGTGGGATCCTGACCCAAAGGGGAGCTGGGCAGCTCTTTAATGATGAACATTTAATGATGAACACACTCTGCAGTCCTTTCACACAACCCATTCCTGAGCATCTGACTGTCATCCTGAGGGTGACAAGGACAACAAGGGTGACTCAGCCCCCTGATATTCATTTATCAAAGGCACTAAAGGTATTTAAAGGCACTAAATTATTTAGTAACTATTTATATATTTATATATATATATTTATTTATAATATATATAATATTTATTTATATATTTAGTATTTATTTTAAAAGTATTTACCTAAAGGTATTTAAGAACAGACCAAACACTCTTGCAGCAGATGATGCCCTTTCATTTATTGCTAATCTACCATAGTACAGGCAATATATAAAAATACTTTACAGATAGCAAAAAATCATTACATTGGAGGTTAACAACGTTGTTGTAGGAATGTGAATGATATAAAAACCCCTTTTCAATGATGAGAAGTTTGGTTTTTGAACAAACAATTTGATTCAAAAGACATCTGTTAGGATGATGTGAGTGACAAGGGCTCACTCGTGTGTCTGTTAGAATATGGCTTTACTGGAACATCCAGGGCAGGGAGGGCTGGGCTTTGGGGGGAATCATTTCACAATTACACACTCAGACAAAAATGTGAGTGCCAGGCAGGCCAGCACTGGTCGGATTCTCTGTGCCCAGGTGCCACCAGCACGCCAGGGCAGTCCCTGCTCAGAGCAGGGGCCATCCTGCAGTAACTGCTGGATCCAACAGCACATCTGCGAGTCCTGGCTTTTACAGACTTCATTCATTTCTGAGACTCAGTCCTTCTGGAGCTTTCTACCCAATGTTGCTATTTTAGGAGTTATAGAAGGAAACTCAACCCCCCCCCAGGTAACTCTGCATTCGAGATCATCTTACTCAGCATCAGCACCTTTAGGCAAAGTTTACTGCAATGTGCAGGTTCTAATTTATATTTTTGTACCCCTGAAAGAATGAGAATGGCTAAACAAACCCTAAACAGAGCAGAGTTGGTTGGACACTGGCTGGAAGTCAGGTTGGTATCAGCTGTGAGCCCTGCCTTGTAAGGCAGCAGGTATTAAAGATACAGGTGCCAATCTGGTGCCAAACATTGTAAAAGGTGGATTATTTATATGAATAAAGAATTACAACCTTCCAAGTGTGATGGCAGAGTTAAGAAACCACTGCAATGTAAATGATGAGGAAAAGAGTTGATTTCTGGAGAATTTTACAATTCACCCCACTGAGACCCAGCAGTGGCATCTCTTCCTATTTCACAGGAATATGGAACATAAATAACAAACACTCAGAATTGCAGCTAAACTGGAATGTCAGATGATTTTAAGTGGTGCAAAAATTATGAGGATCTGAATCAGTTTAAGATTTGAAATGAAGACAGTCGTTTTCTTGAGTCCCATCTGGCAGATCATTGTTCCCTATTAAGTAGCAATTTGGAAAGAAATGCAGGGGGAAAAGTCAGATTGAAATATTTAGAAACATATTCCTTAAGCATTTAAAGCTGTCTTTGAAGTCTTTGGGAAATTTATCAAATACATCTTTTTTTAGGACAACAACAATTCAACAACAATTGCATAGAAAAGTAAGGCATTCAGAAAATGAAAACTGATCCTTTATAAATACAAACCTTAATCCAAAAGTTGTTGCATATTTGGTCAGACCAAAAGCACAGTCACTTTTGTTGTAAGGATATGGACTAGAAAATACACTTTAAAAACATGCTAGCTACTTTGAGAACTGGTTTAGATATGTTATGAAGCAGCAGCTTTTTATACAATAGAGAATAACATAGTGCTGGTTTTGGGACTCCTCTACATTCAGGAAACGCTGTATTCCTACGGGGGAATGGAGGGATACATATTTACATGGATACAAATAAAGCAAGTGCAAAACCCATGACTCTTCTACATTCTTTCTCCCAATAAAAACAACATACACGAGACACTTTCACTCCACTGCTGTTGCTCAGATCTTACATTTTGCTCATTCTCATGGAGAAAAACCAAACCAGGACTTTGTATTTCATCGCAAGTATCTTCACAAGCAACTCCTCTCCTGGCAAACTCGCCTTCCAACACTCGTAACTGACAAAAAAAAAAATCTTCCTGATATCTGTCCACTCCCATTCCACTCTCAGACTGTTTACATATCATGAATGATGATTTTTATTCTACGTATATTTGATGCAGAAGTTTATAGAAGCTCATCCTGTATTTGCAGCCAAAGCTCGGATGGAAAAATGGAAGTTGAAAAAAAATTCACACACACACACACACACACACACACACACACACAAGACAAATAAAAAGAGATGAACTTTTGAGTTCCAAGGTGCCCCATGAACTTCACATGGTGCAGCTTTGATGGAAAATGCATTAGAGTCGTTCACCCTGCAGACAAGATATTTGTAGGCCTTTGGTACAATGGCAGGAAGGCACTGTGGTGAAACATTCAGATAACTGAGGAAAGACAGAATTTCCTCATGTGCAAATATGGCTATCTTCCAGATAAAGTGAGAACAAATTGCTCACAAAATGCTATTAACTCTTCCAAGGTTAAGCTCGTGCTTCTACAGAGAGAAAGTTGTATTAAGTAACAGAAATACTAATACTGGAGAAACACTGCTCAGCAAGAACAGGAAATAATTTAGTACTGTATATATTGAAATCCTTCAGCCTAGCTATATAATTTTAACATACCAGTTTCCTTTTTAGAGACAACAATGCACAGCGCTATGTCTGAGGATGCTCCTTTTCTCCGGAAATAAATACAAAGTTGGCTGAAGCTGAATTATTTAATTGCTGTTGCATGGAAAAGCAGATGGGGCAGCACAGCCTGAGCTCGGGTAGCTGTGGCTGAACCCCTAAAATACAGAATACACAGGGTGAAGCCTCCACACGGAGCTGCTCAAGCGCTGGGAGCCGGCACAGGAGGGACCCAGCTCTGTAATTGTTCATTTCTAAGCAGGGATAAAATCACACACCCACAGAGAGCTGGGCTGGCAGGGACCTCAGCCAGCACCCAGTGCCACCCCAGCCCTGGCAGGGACAGCTCCCACTGCCCCAGGGGCTCCCAGCCCTGGCCAGCCTGGCCTTGGGCACTGCCAGGGGTCTGGGAATTCCAGCCCAGCGCCTCCCCACCCTCCCAGGGAGGATCTTTATCCTAATTTCTGATTGAAAGCTACTCTCTGTCAGTTTGAAGCCATTCCCAACTTATCCTGTCACTACCAGCCCTTGGAAACAGTCGCTCTCTGTGTGGGTGTATTTATAAATTACATTGTACACTGTATTTGTACACAGATTAATACCTATGCATGAGAGGTGAGGGAGGATTACAGTCAATGCAAGCATGGCTGGAGCACCTGTAGCACATAAAAAACCCCTTCCCCCTAAAAAGAACCCCAAACAAAAAAAATCAGCCCCCAAAAAATAAAAAAACTCTTAAAAAAAACCCCAACCAAACAACAACAAAAAAAACCAACCAAAAAAAAAAAAAACAATTCCCCAAAATAAATCCAACCCCTTCTATAGCAAAGTGCCTGGAGAACACATAAGCACAGTGGAAATCTCGTGTATTTTGGTTGCAGAGCTCTCCTGGGTGCAGCACTGCAGGGCTTTGCCTGCCTGGCTCCCTCCTGTGCAGCCTTTGCTCCAAAGCCAAGGTTTTATTTTTCCTTCCTTCTGGGGGTTAATTTATTAAAAGGACATTTCAGAATCTAGAAGGCAGAACTTAAACAATGACCTTTTTCTTAGCTCAGATCCAGCACTAGATTTTACTTCCCCCCTCTTTTCTAAACTGATATTATCTATAAATAAATATTCAGACAATAATTCTCCTAAATGGATGAGCAGTTGCTGCAATCACCAGAGCAGCAGCAGCAGCACATCACAGATCTGAAAAGCCCTTCCTGGGGCTTCTCTGAGCTTCTATTTAAAATTCAGCAAGAGAGAAGGTTCTGCCAGTAATCTGAGGATTTTTTTTTTTCTCTGTGGATGGGGTTTTGGGTTGTTTTTTAAATTTCTCCTATACTTTACAGGTTGGATCATGGAAAACATTGGAAACATCCAAGTGTGAAACTCGGAGATGCATTTGGTCTGTTCTTTTACTCAGCTATAGCAGAGAACTTCTGACAGGCAACTTTTGGCCTTTAGAATATGTCAAAATTGTCCAATTCATCCGACTGCACTAAAAAACCCCTTAATATGTGTCAGATTCTGGCTCACTGACGGCTTCTAACAATCCCAAATAGCTTTCTGAGGCATGTGAGCCAGTCTGAGCCCTACTGAGTGCTGCCTCACAGGAATTCCCCTCTTCTGCAAGACTGGGCCTCCGTTTGGTTTCTGTGAAACTCAGCAATTAAAAAAAGCCATTTTCAGCTCTTCAGGTCCGGGCTGAGGCTTGGACTCTGCAGGGCACTGGGGAGGGCACCGGGGCACCCCGGGAGTTCTGGGGGTTGGGGTACAGGGAGCTCATTTTGGGGTGGAAGATTTGAAGCTCACAAAGCAGAAGCAGAAGCCAGGGTGTGCCATTAATGCCAGGCTGGGACGTGCAGGGCTCTGCTCTGCTTCTGGATCTGAGCTGGGCTGAATCTGGAGTTCAGAGTTGCTCTTGTGCAATTCAGATTTCTGTTCAAGAGCCAAATTTGAGCTGAGCCCCAGGTCAGGCGTTCTGAAGAACCTAATGCTTCTGTCTCCCACTCTAAACCCCAGGACCTTGCAGAGTTTAAGCACCAGTTTTTAGTGGCAGAAAAGACATTCTTCCTGATAGTCCTGAAGAGACTTTTGTTGGACCAAGCAGGTGCTCTGCAGGGACTGTGCAAAATCTTGAGACATCAGGGAACCAATTTTGCTCTGCTGTGTTCCCATCCTCTAATTCCTGCTGTGAGCAGTGGACATGCTGGTATTCTACAAAATGTACTGTGACACAACTGAAAACTGGATTAGTTTCACTTTGCTTTCTACAGCAGAGCTCAGGCTCTGCATTCCTGGAAATATCAGCATTCCTTATTTATAGAACCAGGAAAGACTACTATATAATTCCTAAAACATTATGGTTATCTTGTTCTGTACACTGATTACCCACTCAGGAAGCCTTTTTATCCCACTGAGGAGGCCCTGACTCCCCTAAATATTCTAACTTGTAGCTGCAGGTGGCAGTGGTTACCTGGAATGTGCTAAGCAGGAGTCAGGACAGGATATTCGAACACACGAAGCAAAACCTAACAAAATATTACCTCCCATGGAAATTTAACCTTTCCAGGAATTGCTGGTAGCTTTGCAAAGCTAAAGAGGCCAGGTGAATATAAATAAGTGTATATTTTCTCTGGAATGTATGGCTTCTGTAAGATGCACTTATTTTCCCCTGCAGCTTGGGTGAGTAAATGTTCCAGCTTCTAAATGAGACAAGTTATGAGCCAAGAGCAGGTTCTACATGAAAAGAAACAGCAACAATTTGTTAGAGAATATCGAAGATGTGTTCATACACTGCCTAAATACTAATAAGGATCAATCATAAAATCTTTGGATTTACTGTGACTCCTATATATTAATCTCTGTTTTACCTGGGTTTATTTTACTTTGGGACAGGCATTGCAACTGCTGATTTGCTCTTTTCACTGGTTGGTTGTGAGAATCCCTCTCCTTCAAATTCCTATCCAGCCTGATGGGAAAAACGAAGAAAACTCTTGGATTCAGCTGACATCTCCTGTTTGAAATACCAATCACAGTGCTCAGAGCAAACTGGCTTTTGATCCCAGACTGGATGCAGGCTGAGCTTGGGCTGCCTCAGTTCCCTACAACAATTCATTTCTCAGGAGGGTTTGGATACCTGGAGGGCCAGTCACTGCTAGTGACCTGCAGGGTGGTGGTACTCCTCCATGGAATATATCACTCTGTGTTCCCCTTTTCCCACCCCCGTGTCCACCCTGGGCTCTGAGCCCTGCTCGGGGGACGGGTGATGGTCCCGATGGATGGACGCACAGACAGAGGGTTTGCAGCAGGCTGGAGTGTTTCCTCAGACAGATGCTCTGTTCCAGGAGAACAATGTGATCTCTGGATGAAAGGAAGGGTGTCCTTCGTGGTGTTTACAGACAGAGGTGGCGAGTTGCTCAGCCAAGGCTGTCACTTGGTGCCAATTCATTGTTCCTTGCGCTGAGTCTCTGCCTGGAGATGAACTGCAAAGGAAGCCAGAGGTTGCAGGGGCACTGGAAGGATCTAAGAGGTCACTTATGGAAGGATTCGGTAAAAGTTGTCTCACAAATCTCTTCTTCTATGTCTGACTTCTGGCAGGGAGTCCAGAAAATTCCTTCCTGATAATTTCGTTAACTGGGAAATGAAAGAAAGAGGAGGAAACATTAAAGCACTTCCAACATCACGACAAGTAAAAAGTAAAAGCAATTCTTGGGCAGTCGAGCTGAAAACATCCCCTCTGCATTCATAATTTAATTTTATTAAAACCTAAATGGTCCTGTCTGCCCAGGTCCCACATTTTTGGAAGGCCAGGGGGAAGGAGAGTGTGTGTTTCACTGTAATTTTGTTCCACTGCATTCAGTGTGGTTCAGGTGCCATAAAACAGAGAGAGGCTGCAGCACGTGCCCAGGACCTGCCACATCCCTCACACACACACTCCCTCTGTCACAGACACTGCCCTTTCCCCAGGGAGAAACAGAAAGAAACATCTCTAGGTATCTAAGCATCTGAACATTGCACTAGGCTGAAAGAAAAATATTTGAAAAAGGCCAGGTTTGGAGGAAATATAGTGATGAAAACACAGAGACTGCAATTCAGGTGAAAAAGCTTGCATTTGGCTGGTTTATGGTTGGTATTTTTTAATCCCACTCTAGACTCTACCTGCTTTACATCTTTATTATAATTTATTTGCAGACTGTAGCACAAACAACTTGCATACAGCACCAGGGTACCGGGAGAGGCTGGGACAGGCTTGTTAATAAAACTCAAGAGAAGACACTGAAGAACTTTGCTGTCTGTTTAAAAGTCAGAACAATATCACTTCACTTACAACAGCCAATCTCTCCTGGCAACTTTTCACACTCACCTGCCTAAAGCACCCTTTGGCATCTCCTGGAACAACAATTCTCTCTCTAGAATTTAGATGCTCCCTACAATTTAATGCAGAAATCTCTGCACTTTCATTACAGGAGACCTAAACCATGAACATTTTGATGCAGAACTCCAGAACTGCCTTTTCTGGGGCTCCATTTCACCTGCAGCTCATTGGTGCTGTATTCATCATTGTCAGTTACTCTGACAAATTTGCCTCAAAACCAGAAAAATTAATTTTCCAGGTTTCAGACCCAGATCTAAATGACTTCTCCCTGTTGACATTTAAGGGCTGAAATAGGGACTAACTCAAACCAAAGCTAGACCTCACCCAAGACTGATTAATCCTCAGGCTTGCAGCTCTCAGACTCCTCTATGTTCTATCCCATTTCTAATAAATGCTTATTACAAACATTAATTAACATAGTATTAATTAACACAGTATTTCACTACTTCCCCCTATCTAAAAAACCTGGCAAGTCTCTGGGAAGGGGAACACATGAATTAGTTTTTAATAGTTGCAATTCATGGTTTGAAACCTCCTTCCTCTCAGCATGCTGGAATTTGTCTCTGAGAAAGTAAAATCTGTATTTTTTCAGAGCTCCATGTTGCTCCTGGATGTGGGGGTACTCCAGGAACTCCATCAAAAATCCCACCAGTAACAGCTCTCTCTAATTCCAGCTGGGAAATGCCTGATTTGAAGCAGAACTGGTGCTTCCTGGGGATGATTTGGGTAAGACAAGCAGAACTCCTGCTCTCTCCTGCTGCCCAGCATCCTACCTGGCACGGCTTTGGGGTGAGCTGTGGCGAAGGAAGAACATCTGGGTGTTGGGCGAGGGCTGCTCTGCAGTGAGAGGCAGCAGCCAGAGGGAGGGGAGGTTGGTCCACTCTAAGCAGAACCTCCTGTGCTCACTCACAGCTTCCTGCCTGCTCTGCCCAGGAAATGACAGGAGCAGGTCTCAATGGAAAGTTTTCACAGCCCCGGCTAAAAATAGCAGTGAGGTAAAAGAAGTGGGCACCCACTCTCAGAGAGGGTCATTTCCTCTCCAGAAACAAGTGCGCTGAGGCTGCAGGACATTTATTTATCAACAGGTTTGTTTGGGCTACCAAAAGTACCAGGAGTTTTATCTATTCCTTTTATCTAATGCACCCATGGAAATCTCGGAGCCAACAGTCATCTGCATCTGGGAAGGGTTAACTATTAATGTGAGCAGATAATTAAATGGAGCTCACTGCAGAGGCTCTGAGGGGTCCGGATTTGGTTGTTGGGGCGGCTCTGGGCAGGTTGGATGCTGTGGTGAAGAGCTGACTCAGCCTGCAAACTTCACTTTCCCTCCCCTGAGGTCAGCACTGGCTTCTGTGGGCTGAGGTTATGGGGGCTGCAGCCTGAACAGGGCTCAAAAGCTGCAGGGGAACAGTCTGAAGCATGAACCCCACGGACAGGCACACCCAGCACTGCTCCCTGCCAGCTCTGCCACCGGCAAAATCGGGTGTTTTCTAAGAACCTGAATGACAACAGCTCCCTGCCATCAGCTGGCCTGAATGTCCCACAGCCACCCTGAATTTCACCCAAATCCAGGTGGTGAGGGGAGCGTGAGGTGTGGGTTAAGCTGGGCATCACTAACGTGCGTCAGAGCCTGTCCCAGCACGGGAACCCGCAGCCTAAATCCAGTCAGAATGTGAATTCCGGGAATGGGACCCGAGGCACGGCTCGCTCTCCAGGCCTGGAATCACCCCCAGCCCCAGCCTCACACCTCTCTGGGGATCTGCTCCAGACCTGGCAGCCCGTGTGCCCAGCCCAGGTGGAATCCAAGAGACCTGGCTTTCAACAGAAGCTGAACTAAATCAGCAAACTGAGCCGTGTCTAAACCTCAGAGGAAGCCCAGAGCTGTGCCGAGCCTGCTGCTCTCAACTCCAGCTATCTCTTTTTGGCAGCGTGGTTAAAACGTATCTCAAGTATCAGCTCTCATTTGCTCACTTCTAGCTGGGAGGAAATGGAGATTATGTGATTAATAAATAAAACATTTAAGGTGCCTGGCACTGGTTGCTCTGGAGCACACCACTATTGATCCCTTTAATGAGAGAGAACTGATTGAGGCCACAAGCACACACGCAAAGATAATGAGAGATGAAATCATAAAGAAGATATTGAAATTACAGCTGCCATCAGCCATCCAGGCCGGGGAAATGCCTGGCTGGGCACCCTTCAGCGTGTCCTCTGTCACAGCCTGCAGTGGGGCTGCTGGAATTGTGGGGGTCCCTGTGGTGGGCACCAGCCAGGGCTCACCCCCTCAGCTGCAGCGTGGGGTGTGCTCCCGGGGCCTCCTGTGTGTCCCAGCGCTCCAGGGACAAAGGAGCCCCTCAGAGGGGCAGTGCCACCCTGGAGCTGCCACACTCACACCCCTCTGCCACCCCACGGATCCCCTGGATAACAGGGATGCTGTGACAGTGACCCTGGGACAATCCCACAGATCCCAAGGATAACAGGGATGCTGTGACAATGACCCTGGGACAATCCCACGGATCCCAAGGATAACAGGGATGCTGTGGCAGTGCCCAATGGGACAGTCCCACGGATCCCCTGGATAACAGGGATGCCAGGGATGTTCCCACCTCTGGCAGTGCCCTCTGGGGATCCTCCAGCAGCGAGGGGCTCCTCAGAGCAGGCAAAGCTCAGCCCCAGCAGCTCCTCCCTGCAATATTCCACATCCTGCCCTGCCCAGGAGGAATTCTGACATGCAAAGCAAACCCCTGGGTAGGAACTGGTGGGGAAAAGCTCAGGCTGGGTTTGCAGAGTGCCCTCAGACCCAGCCAGGTCCTGCCCTGCTGGGAAGGATGGGATCCTTGGGATGCTTCAGCCCAGCATGCACAGCCCCACCTCTCCTTCCCTGCCCTCAGGACAGCTCTGTGCTACACAGGTGGGGAAGAAAAAGAATGAAAAAAAATTAAATAAATAAAATAAAATTAAATGTTTTAAACCCTCTACGCCAAATAAAAAGGGGCATGGCTTTTTAATTGAAAAAATAAATAAATAAAGGTTAAGAGAAACACACAGCTGGAGAAAAGGCAGAAAAATACCAATTACCTTTCTTTTTGATTGCTTGGATCAAAGATCACAGTCATTCTTTTTCATATAATGTTTTGTATCCAGCTAAGGTGTGTATCTATCAGCTCTGAAAAAGATTTGCAAAACCATTTTTGAGAAAAAAAGGTAACCTTTGACCTATGTTGCATGGCCAAATGTTACAGCTTTCAGCTACTCTTTCATTTTGTGGGATCATTTAATAAAAGGACATTTCAGCATATACAACACATAAGGCAGATCTTAACCACTGACCTTTCTGTTTGCTCAGATCCACCATTAGATTTTACTTTTTTCCCCCTCTTTTCACAACTGGTATTACCTAAAAATGAATATTCAAAGATGTACACTCCTAGACTGGTGACAAAAGAGTAAAAGCTGATAATTTGATGTGAGACTCCAGAGGCACAGGGGGTCCCTGTGACTTGTGAGTCAGCTCAGACTCCTCACTGCCTTTTGCAAAATTCACTTTTTCACTGTGGTCAGCCCCGTGCCCAAGTGAGACCCAACACATTTATGGCAGATCCAAAGTCAGTCCCTTTGAATTGAGAGATCCAACCACAGTGGCTGTGAAAATCAGACTTTGCCTTAATTGTACAGAACAGGAAAGATCTGGGCAAAGAAATTATCAAAGTTACAGTCTTTGCTTCAAACGCAAATAAGGTGAATTATTTTCCTCAGGAAAAGGCAGTATTTAAAAATTTCTGCCTTTTTTTTTCTCCTTAAATTTCCTAATATTTTTAGATTTCTTCTGAATTCAACATGAAAGCATTTGGCACTCCTGCAAAACCATGTGGAAATAATAATAATAATAATAAAAAAAGATAATTTCAATATTAAGGAGCAAAAAGTGCTTCTTAAAAACTAAGTTTTGAGTGCAAGATTCAGAAGTGTCTTTGCTGCTGGATTTCAGGTGACTATATATAGAAAAGAAGTATTTTACTTGGCTCCCAAGGATTGTGCAGCCACGTATCATAGCCTGGAACCTCCCACTCAGTACACAGCCTATTTTATATTCTGCATCCTGAAAGAGCAGCTTTTGCACACCAGAACACAGCAACTCCTGGACTGGGAAACACCAGTTTGGGTGTGGAAAACACCAGTTTGGGTGTGGAAAACACCAGTTTGGGTGTGGAAAACACCAGTTTGGGTGTGGAAAACACCAGTTTGGGTGCATCAGGCACAAGGAGCCCAAGCCAAACAAACTGTGCTGGGGAAAATACTGGAAGTGTGTGGGGTTGGTTTAGAAATCAACAGCAATTAAAGGCTTTTTTTTTCTCCTGGAAAATGGGGCCATATAATCACTGAGACATTCTCAGATGTAAAGGTTTATTTACACATCAAAACCAGGGTTTCCTCCTCACTGAAATAATGCCAGGAGATGCATCCTGCAACTTTCCTGCCTTGTCCTGCTTGTAACCCACAGAGCCTGTGTGAGCTGTGAACCTCCTCAGAGCCCTCCTGCCCAGCAGCAATCAGGTCATCTCCATTAATTAAGCAAACTCTTGGAAGAGGCTGCTGACCTCAAACTAAGTGGCAGCTCAAGTCCCAGGATGCATTTTTGCTGTAAGAGTATCAAGAGACTCCAAACCCATTGGCACCTTTCCATGGATTTAGCAACATGATACAGATATCTGATGGAAAACAGAATCTAAATAAAATGCATATTTTTGGCTAAAGCCTGTCCCAACTGAAATCAATATCTGAACTGCTGTAGATTTACAGGATCTGGATTGCACCCATGACATTTAAATGTCCTTCCCTTATATTGCAGTGCAGTGCCAGAGTGAGGTGCAAAAATCAAACAATTGGTATCTTTGGTACTGTCCTACCCAAAATGTTTAACAGGAAGCTGGGTGTGCCTGCAAGAAAAGAGCAAAACATAAAGATAGCATTTCTGCTATAAAAAAATTCAATGCCCTAAACGCACTGTAGATCAAAACTAGCAGGAAGGAAGTACTCAAAAGACAAATCTGTCTGTGCCACCACCTCAGAAACGCTAAGGATTCTCTAAGCACTTTCATTATTGCCACTGTACTTCCAGAAAAGATCAACAGCCACTACAGACCAACAGCCTCAAAGCTGGCAGGAAAAAGCGTGACCTAGAGGGGAATGGGGGGACTCCAGGGCTTGGACTCTCATCCTGCCACATGGCCCTGGCCAAAGCATCCCTGAAGGACCAGACCTGTGTCAGATCTGCTTTGGGCTGAAAAACGCACAAAGTCTGTCAGGTCACACTCATGGAACTCAAATAATCCCTGCTTAGCTAAGAGAGAGCAGCCTGAGAGGATGATGACCTCCACAGAATGAGCTACACCCTCCAGCAGATCCACTCTGCTCCGTGTGTGGATGCAGGAGAGCAAACATTCCCCACAGGGGTGTTCTAGAGTCCTCAGGCAGGACTTCAGATCCTTCAGACCTCAGAGCACCACGAGGTGCTGAGCTCAGCCGGGCAGCAGGAGAATTCCAGCCACGTTCTCCTGCACAAGCAGCTGCCAAAGGCTGCCCTAAAGGCAGCTGAAGGGAAGAGTCCTAAGCTGATGGGAGCCATTTGGGTGCCCTCAGTTATTTAATCCATCTGATCCCTGTTGGGATTTGCTGGCAGTCGGTGAGTTCAGGTTTTCCATGACCCAGGAAACAGGCTCTGTGTGATGTTTGCAGGACACACACATGCACACACACCTGAGCTGGGCTCCTATCCCGGGCTGCTGCCTGCAACAGCAAGACAAAGAGCAACTTTTGCTCCAGAGTGTGATTTTCTGTTTGCTCGATGGATTTCAGTACTTATCCATCCCTTTTTTCATCACTCCATTCTAAGACAGGTGCAAACTTTGCCTACACAGGGACTGGAGGAAGAAAGGGCACCTTCAGGAACAATTTCATGCCCTTTTCCTCCTGCCCCAGGCTTCAGCAAATGCCTGTGGGCAGCCCCTGGAGCTCCTCAGGCTCCCTGAGCCGAGTTTAGAGGGGTTGTGTCAGACACTTGGAGCAGAGCTGGGAGAGGCACCCCAGCAAACTGGGCTGTTTCTCTTTATGTCAATCTCATTGGAACTCAACCTCTGCACCCTCTTCCTGCCCAGTGCAGAGCACTGCAGACACTGAAAGCAGAGCCAAGGACGGTGCTCAGGGTGGCACCTGGGGCCAGGCACTGCCCACGTCCTCCCCAGGTGACCTGAGCAAGGACTGGCTCTGGGTATCAGTGCTGGCACTGCTACAGGAGCGTGAAACAACAGCTCCTGCACTCTTGTTTGCTAGGATGGTGATAAATCCCCTGTGCTTTATCAGACAAACCCCTCAGGTCTGTTTAGACACCACTGAGTGGGCAGAAAGGGGCTGCAGGGAGCTGAGCTGGCTGTGTGCAGCTCCTCCACGAGTGTCAGCAGCTGCTCTGGGAAGAGTACCTTGAAAGTGGAAAACTAGATCAGCCTGGGTGTGATGAGGAACTCCAGGCCACCGTGGAGTTGGTTTGTAGTAGCTTTCCATAACAAAGTCTTTTTTTAACTGACTTTCTTTCTGCTCACATATATTTAGATATGACTTTCATTCTGCAGCACTCTGATGCCAGAGAGTTTTGGCTGCAATTGCAAGGGAAGGGACACGTGTTTGAGTCATGGAGTTGGCTCTCTCTGGTTGATAGTTAGTGAGTTACTGAGAAAAGATGAAGTTTGTATTTAGCTTTAGTTTACATGCAACGAGACCAAGTAAAATATTCCAAGTAGAAAGAGCACATAATAAATAAATACACAAAAACTTATACCAGAAGGGGATGGGGAGTTCATTGTATAAACCACATTACTTGGCTAAACCTATACAGAAATATTGGGCTGATGGACTGAAGCTAAAGAAACACAAGGCAGGAGTCCTCATTTTGTCACTGCTAACTCTTCATTTGACTCTTGCTGCTGCTGCAAAGCACAAGGGTGAAGTGTGCTCGTGTCTGGTTTATTGTACGTGGTTTGGACACTATGGATTTGATCCAGAACTGCATTAAGACATATTTCTTTTAGATCAAAACCAGCACAACCAAAGGAAGCTGGTGATGACTTTTCCCTCCAGCAGCACCTCATGGTTTAAGAACTGATGAAATTGGTATTGGATACCACAACACCTCTAAAACAGCAAATGCAGGGAAAGCACATGAGCAACAACTCTTTATCCACATGTCACCGTGCAGTTTCATCATTCTCCTAGAGTTAACCTATTTACTGGGGCAGGATGAGTCATTCAGCAACGTGATTCAAAAACAGAGAGAGAAAAGAGAATGGATGCGAGGAAGTTATTTTTTACAGGAAATAATTGGGGGGAGGACAGAAGAACAGTTACAGCACGTTCAGGATTAGCTGAAAGTACAAGATAGGCAATGCTGCTGCTTTTTCATTTCTGTCACAAAGGAAAAACCAGAACAAATATTTAATTGAGGGGGAACAAACCATTTAACAAATATTTAATTAAGGGAAAACAAACCATATTCGCCTTCCCTTTAGGCAGTTTTTCAGGGGATGAACAGTCAATAATGGAATCTGTTTCCCTCCCTTGAGCTCTAGTGCTTGTCTATTAATCCATAAAACTATTCACTGGCTCTAATTCTCTGGCATCTCATCTTGTGCTGTGTCTTCACTCTGCAGCATCCCCTCTGAAGGGCCTGTGCACTCCTGCAGAGCCCCAGCCCCTCCACAAACCACCTTTCCCTCCTGACATGTCTGAACTGAATTCTGAGCTGGCTTCTCAGGGGAAAACATCAGAAAATCCCTTCCTAAGGTGATGGGGAAGATGCACAAGTGGCCTGTGAACAATTCTGCCAAGCAAACCCAGCTCCTCTCTGGCCCAAAGATGCAAATCTCTGCCTGCAACTCCTCTGCCCCACAAAGAGCCCCAGCCCAGCCAGCCTGCACAAGGCATTTGTTCCTATCTGCTCGGTTTTCAGGAGGACTGTGGGCAACAGGCACCACACCGAGCAGGGAACACACAAAATCACTTTAACACACAGATTATTTTTCTATTATGCCTCCACATCCTTCCACAAACGAGTACTTGGGGGAAGATTCTTCCCCCCCAGGGGAAGTGCCTCCAAGGGCAGAGGTGGGCAGCAGC